CCCACCCTTTTCACCCTTTATCTCTCCATCTCTCACTCACCATTCACTCACGTGATGACGACAAACACGACATACATCAGTCACAGCTCCTAATTGTCCTCCAGGTTTTTTTTATTACCCATCACAGAACATGACAGGACGTCCGCAGTGTGTGTAGGCATTAGCGTCACGACGCGGGGGAATCAGGCGCTCGTCAACTTTTGGGCATGCCATGTGGAGTTATTAGTACCATCTGAAAGCTTATTTATGATCCTTGGTTTCAATGAAATAGATATTCATCTATCTTGAATAGAACTCGAGATATTTGCAATTGAAGGAAATGAGGTCGCCTGTCTCAGTTGTGAAATTATCGAAAAACTGGCCGTCAATGTTTGGTAACTCCAATAGCTACAGAGGCTTTGAAAACAGAAAAATGACATATTTTGTGCCTTCAACCAATGTTTTTCAGTAAAATTCACTGAGAAATGGGTTTTTATATAGACATAAAAGAGGTTGAGCAAAAAATACACATCTGAAAAAAAATTGAAAACTGGCAGGAAAATGTCTGTTTCTCCGATTTCTGTATTTTGACGAGTCAAGACAAAACATTCGAATTACCGGACGTTTTATCGGCTGTTCACACATATTTTCATTATTTTTTTCTTTTTGGCTCAATATTTTTATGTCCATCTGAAAACACACTTCTGTTCGGATTTTACTTAGGTACATTGATGCGAGATAAAACAAAAAATGTGAGTTTGCAATTTCCAAAGGCAACTCTAGCTTCGAAACTTTGGCGGCCATTTTCACGCTAATTTTACCTGTGACACTAGATGGCCACTACTACCACCTTCACTTACATACATTGTATCTCCACTTCTATTCAAGACAGATGGGTAGATGGTTGTTGTTTCATTACAAGCAAGACAAATGAATAAGTTTTTAAGATGTTACCAATAACTCCATATGCCCAAAAATTGACGAGCACCTGATTCCGCCGCGTAGTGACACACTATCTTCCTGTCACTCACCACCCGAATATTCGCCTCGTTAAAGCGAAGTAACTGTAGTTAATTGTTTTGTTTTTAGTAACAGTTGTACGGCACTTGCAACACAACACGGTCATGTACGTTCCGAGGATTACAGGTGTTACAAGAGAGTAACAAACTCTGTCTGCAGCCTTTCTACTGCTACTCCTTGGCTCCTCCTAACTGCTGTCTTTCTGCCACACCCCTGATCTTCTGGTAGGAAAGATCTACACCTAGCCTTCTCGGACAAGGGCGAAAAATCTCGGAGG